TTAATTTATTTCTTCACTTTCTTAAAAAACCAATATCAACCAATTCAAATTGAAATTCTTGGTATACCAACCCATCCAATATTAATTGATTTAGCCGGCTCAATACTGACTTGGTTCGTGGTTTATGACATGTTTACTTATTTGAAAACGAGGAAATTGGAAATATAATAAGGAATTGGAATTAGATCAACAAAAACGTGTCATTGAGAGCCGAATTGTGACTATTTACTAGTAGCCCAAGAATAAAAGAATTCATCCATGATAACAAAATCTAACAAATTTGGGGCCCAAGCCCAAAGGGAAAAGATAACGACCCGTAGACGGCTCTCCAGACTCGAACCCAATATTTTTGGCGGGCCAGCTACCCCGGTCAACAGAAAAACTCGGTCTCACAAGTAAGTAGTTTCTCCCTCCCTGATCATGTCAACATTCAAAGCGAAGACTGACAGATATGAGGATGAAGATCAGACAAAGTACATGTATGTTTTTTCATTTTTTCGGCAAAGACCTGCCGGAAGTCAATGCTCGCGCTGCGTGGTATACAAGCCGTCAACTTTAAACCAACGGGGAAAAAAACGCTTACATTGGGTTTGAAAGTCTGATAGCATTTTCTGCTGAAGCAGAAGCAAAACCAACAAGGCAGATAAGAGCAAGCAAGAAGCAAAACAATCCACGGAACAAAAGGAAACAGAGATTTCAAGTTAGAGAAGAAGCAGTAGCTAACCGTAATAAAATCATGAATCTGTTTAGGTTAGCAGGAGACATAACCCATCTGCTCAGCATAGTGGTCTTGTTCCGTAAGATCCGCACCACCAAATCTTGTGCAGGTATGAATATGTTAATTCATTCTTACCTTTCTCTTACGTCCTTTAGACAGTTCTTGCTTTTGTTTTTCCTATGTTTTCCGGATGAGTTGACCAAGACCTTTTTGTACCATGCATGTTTATCGCTTAATTGAGAATTAGTGCTTTGACATGAGATTATTGTGGCAGCTTGGACAAATTATGTTATGTTCGAACTCTCAAACCACATTTTATTTTGTTTTCCATTTTTAACTGTTCGACAATTGATTGATTCTGGTTTGGTTAAGAATTTGTACTTGTTAGAAGGGTGGAGGTGGTTGATTTGAAAGCTTTTGGGTTTTTTGTTTTGTAAATTCCTTGCTAGGTTTGCAGATTTCGTATTCTTAAAGTATGCAGAGATATGCCCTTATCCTCATATGCATCTGAAAATAAAGAATGGTCGTTTTTGTTGAATTATTTTGACTCAATTCCCCAAATTCAGAGTTGAAAACTTGTTCAACTGTTGCATTTAACCAGGAATTTCACTCAAAACTCAAGAACTCTACGGGTTGGTCTTTCTTACTCGATACATTGACTTGGTTATCAAGTATCACTCCTTGTATAACACTTTAGGGAAGCTCATCTTTATTGGAACTTCTCTTGCCACGGTCTGGCACATGAGGTACCATAAAGTAGTGAAGCAAACCTACACCAAAGATCAAGATACTTTCAGACATTACTATCTCGTCCTTTTATGCTTGGGGCTGGCTCTTCTGATTCAGCGTTCTTTTACAGTAATTGAGGTGAGGCATTTATCCTCCTCTTTCTTATGCCCTTATGGATGACTTTATTTTGCCTTTAAACGAACCTTTTGCCACTTGTTTGGAAAGAAAGCTTGCATCCAGTTTTATTTTTTTTTAACCCCCATCAGTTTGTATGATGCTGTTACTTTTTTACTCACATCTGATAGAAGCTTTGATCTATTCTATTGTAATAGGTTATGTGGGCATTTTCGATATATCTTGAAGCCGTAGCAATCTTACCACAATTGGTTTTACTGCAAAGGTCTAGAAACATTGATAACTTAACTGGAAACTACGTTTTCCTTCTTGGGTATGTTCCAATTCCCCTGAGGCATACAAATGAATTTGCTTTTGTGTTATCCACTTTCTTACCTGCAATGCAACCTGATTACAACTAGTTAGGATCATAGATTCAATTCTACTACCTTGTTTATGTTTTTCGGATTTAATTTATCTGTGGTGTTATATTTGTTTGGTAACTCTGTCTCTGTGCAGTGCTTACCGAGCCCTATATCTTCTCAATTGGATTTATCGTTTCTTCACAGAGCTTCACAGAGTTCTCTGGATACGTAAGTTCTCTTTTATAGCTTGCACTTGATACTCTTGTATCCCATTTTAGCTAAAGTGATACAACAAATTATAACTTGTTGTCAAATGCCCAAAACAGCTTGGGTTTCAGGCCTTGTTCAGACTGCTCTTTATGCTGACTTTTTCTACTACTATATTAAGAGGTAACTTCATTATTCTACTCTTTTGTCTTTAATTGTTCCCCAAAGAATAGTTTGTTTCATTTCCGTGCGTGCGTGGAAGCCAGAAACATGTTGGAATACCTAGCAAGGGCTTTGCAAACATGTTTCCATGCGCATTGTTAAAAACCAGCATATCTGATATAGCTTCTAGGAACATGATTGTTTGCTGCTGGAAAATGGCACCAATACGTGAAACCAATTTTGATAATGAACTTTGAGTGATTCTATTTCCTCCTGACAACAAGCTACCCTGATTTTTCTTCAGCTGGAAGAAACACGAGGAGCTTAAGCTTCCTGCTTGAAGTGGATCATTCTGGATGTGTAATTTCCACTAACACAAAAGCAATGGATACATACTTGAGGATGTAGAACCAAAGCTGACCGCTGTCATCCTTGTCAGGGGATTTTCTCCCTACATGCATTAATATTGTAATTTGTATAGTGCAGCAACATTATCATGATTAATAGTTGACGGTGATCTGGTGGGACAGTCAGTGCTACCACATTTTCCAGGACTATCTAATGCATCTGCATCATCTATCCTACCTGTTTTGGAATCAATCTGGAGGAAAATAAAAAAGGGAAAACAGGATTATAATAAAAGAAATGGTTAATTATCTACCAACCAATCACCCACACTCACATTTATGTGTTCAACCTTTTGTTTTGTTTACAATATGTGCCTTGCCGCCTTCATCGTCACGAGCCCTTCACTTGAATTTGCACGCTAGCTCCTTTTGATCATAAAAAATCTGGAATTCTCTTTGGTTCTCAATATTAAAGTATATCAATTTATATAATGTGTATAAATCAAGACACACAACCATGTTGAAATATATAAAGTTAAGCATTTAATTGTACACGATATGTTCTTCTAATTAAGTGACAAAACTCTGAATAATATATTATTATTATATACCTCAGTTTCAAGGAAGAAACAAGGAGGGAGCAAATGTATTCGGTCATATATGTACAGAGCCTAACCCTTGACCTCCGAATAAAATAACTAGAGTTGAGATTCAATTCCTCGTGAAAGGAAGAAACGCGGAAGGAGCGCATGCAAGTCCTTTTCTTCAATACATCATTGAGCCCTGTAAACTTGTATAAAACCAAAATTTCACTTAGGAGCTGACACTTGAGACTTGAAACTTGAGAGAGAGAGAGAGAAAGAGAGAGAGAGAGAGAGAGAGAGAGAGAGAGAGTGAATATGCTGAAACTCTCTTGGTTTACCTTAGCTTCATTGTTTTTGTTGGCAGCATTATCAGAAGCCAACAACTCCAAGCCCGGTCGCCAAAAAGAATGTGAGAATCTCACAGCTCCCTACCAATTTGACATTGGGAAAGGAGGATCATGTTCCATGGACGAGTATTGGTTTGACACAATAAACTGCAGCAGTTTCTGTATCCCACTAAAATCATTCTCGGGAAAAAGTAATATTATTGAGGTGGGACAACTTTCTCCATCCCAGGTACGCGTAAATAACTCAGTTGCTTATAGCTGCCACACCATTAAAATGGGAGCAATATTAATGTTGTTGTACTCTAGTTCTACTGCTCATCATGTTGCTGCAGTGGACTTGAGTACTGGCAGCACACAAAACACAATCGCTGAGACTGTGAACTTGACTCGCACCCGGCACGCAATCTCCGACTCTGCAAACAAGTTCACAGTCATACACAAGGGATGTGACAAAGGTATGCAACATGATGAACACTTAGACTCATCATAGGTGGTCTTCTGGTGGTAGTGGCTGTTGCAATTCTTCCACTCCCAAAGCCATTAATAAGTCTCTTGTGTCTGAGGGAGAGACAGAGAGTATGGGAAACATTAGTTTCTAGCTTATCATGAGTAGCCGCAGCAAATGAACCAGGTCCAGGCTCATCTTTCCTATGTTGATGGTAGGAGACATGAACAGCACACGACAAGACGCGCTCATCATGTTTCCATCATTCTATTCCTACAACAGAATTGTCTCTATTCCTACGCGCTCATCATGACAGATTGACATCATCCGATGCCATTTGATTTCCACATCAATAGTTGTACATCCAATAAACCCATTTCCATATTTCGATTTCTCCCACAACTTTATGATATCCATTTAAACGCAAAGCACTCAAATGTTAATCCAAGTGTTCAAATGGACATTATGAAGGTGTGGGAGAAATCGAATTTTGGGAATGGGGTCGATTGATGTCTATTTGCAAGGATGGCAATGTGGCGGACAATCATGATATCGTTTCAGCGAGAAAGAAAAGACAATACGTCTTCTTGGTGTAATTGCAGTGAAGCATGGAATACAATCTGATAGATTGGACATGTAAGCAAGGAAGGAAATGGTATGTTGTCGAGCGGGAATGATAGCATCTAAGGTACAACTCATGAACGTATCTCCGCATATAAGATGCATGGACTAATGATAATGAGGTGATAGTCCTAGACTCCTAGTCGTACCCGTTAAAATGCCAATTGCATGAAGTTATTTTCTGTGTTTCCTTTAAAATGTGATTGAATGAAGGTTAAGGCTGTCCTTTTATGAGGTAGTTATCCGTTTAAACATACAATATTGATTTCATCGACATAAAATAGTTATCTTTAGGAA